CACAATTCCAGTGGTTTCACTGCATGTCGTTCCCAGTGTCATGACATGGTTCATGGCCTAAGGGATGTGTGAAGGACCCTGCTGAAAGGGGCTGCAGGAATATTTCATGACCCTGCTTGCTTTGTGTGGGAGCTCAGGAGATCTTCCTTTACCTGAGGAACATAGAGAATAATGAGACATCCCTGGAGAAAACTGCTATTGAGTCTTTCCTGACCTGAAAAAAACCCTACATGTGTATGATCGAGATAGCAGCTCACTTTTCAGCTGCACACACTGTGCTTAGGTCATTAGCCGAGATTGTTAACGAGGCAGGCAGTCGGTCAGGGCTGCAGCCGTGGGGCTTTTTGGCTACCAGCTCCTCGAGCCAGAGCGCATTCATCAGAGCGTGCAACAACAAATGACTGAAGTGCTGAGCTGGATTTGGAGAGGTAGCACACACATAAAAGCCTCCAGAAGCCCTTTGCAATTCCCTTAGTCATCCATTCCCACTGAAAGCCTCTCTTTGGGAGTTTCCAGGAGGCCTGGTGCGACCTTTGGTCGTCCTTTTGGTCAGAGCTCTTATCTGTGTAGTGCAGACCCGTCCTCTTTCTGCTTGCGCTCCTCCAGAGCAGTTTTCACGGGATAAACAAGCTGTATTTGCTGATGCACACTTCCTTATCAGCTGGACAGCACGCTTCTCCTGCGTGGTGGGTCACACTGGCTGCTGGGCCAGCTCCAGGAATTCCAGGGCAGCTTCATCATGGCTCGCTAGGCGCTCTCTCACAGCCATGGGCTGCAAAAAAATCACAGCCGCCCTTATCTTAGAGCCCACCAGGAGTTTCCCGGTGTTGCAAAGCACCTTTAGGTTGATAATTGCAGGTGTTGCATCTTTTTAATAGAGATAGAAACATGATAAGCCCTGGTTTGGGGAGCTGTCACCATGCCAGACTGAAGGCTACTTATTGAAGGAGAATTTCCCTTTCACTGTGTTTCTTTAAAATATGAGTAAATAAGTAAAGCATTATCTCAAAATCAGCTCACAGCTGAGGCAAGATGCAAGATTCATCTGAGGAAAGAAGAAAACCAAAATCCTATGAATTTTTACCAACCAACCCAACCCAAGAAGTTACAGCCCCAAAGAGGAAACATCTCAGGACTCACATGAAACACAGCTGGTGCAGAGCTGCTGTACTACAGGAGTTATTTCTCTTGGGTCATGGCTTTAAAAAGTTATTTCTCTCTCAACACTGCAAATCAACAGCTTTCCATTACCCTGGTCCCTTCCTGTTACAGCATTCCTTGTTGCCTCTCCTCCAGTTCCAGCACCTCCACAGGAATTAACCTTGTTGCTGTCCATTCTCCCTTGGCTCCCTTATGCCAAGCTGTAAATGTAACCAGAATAAGGCAGATACAGAGCAGGGGTGATCATGGAGCACTTAGCAAAAGGTGCACTCAATTTTTCATGAAAAAAAGAAAAATGTCTTCACTGAAACATTTTTGAAAAAATCAAAATTTGTCATGCAAGGCCTGCTATGGGGCAGGGCTTGTGGCTTAAAATGGGAGCAAGAAATATAATAACACATTAATTAATGCTTGCAAGGCACTTGAAAATGGCACATGGTGTATGCTCCTGCAAACCACGTTGATTAATTACCACCAGCAATCTGCTGGTTTGTTAGGAACCTTTCCTAGATGTGCCTTCTCATTAGCCTGGTACAAAGCAACCCTCAGCAGGAGGGAACAAGTTGCTTCAAACACGGTTCAACTTTCTGCCAGTTTAATCTTCATCTCACTGACAGACTTCTGAATCTCCATTTAATTATAGTGCCTGAAATGTTTTGTGATAGCATATCTCTATCTCTCTGTTCTGTGTCTTTTTATGTTTTTTTAAGTTGTTGTGGGACAGAGGAATAGATAATTTTTTCCAGTGTCCATTAAAATTCCTTTTGCCTGCAGTGCAGTATGTGCTCCATAAAAGAGATGAACCTGCTGCAAGTGAAATAAGCTGATGCTGCACTGTCTTTTTAGAGCAACAAAAATCTTTATAGATTATTTTCCCGAGTGCCATGAATCTCCTTCAAAGCCTTAAGTCACTGATACCAATTAATAAACTTAATAGTCTCATTTTCAATTCACATTCAGGCCGTACAGAGCGTGTGCTCTGGCAGATGCTTGAAAGCTTTGCCTTTCAGAGATAAAATGTTACCTTGTGTGTGAGGGGGGGTGATTCAGGAGCAGAAAGACCTGTTAAAGTGCAGCACCTGAGGCCTCCTTGTTTTCTGAATTTACAGTCTCAGGCTGGCAGTCGTATAAATGAGTGATGCTCTCTGATGTTCTCTTCCAGGCAGGCAACGAAATTGGCAGGGAGTCTTGGGTTTTGTGCTGATGTGTCCAGAATTCAAATAATTTCATTCTCGGCTATAATGACAATTGGAGGCAGAGTATTACCTTGAGAAAAGAGAAGGGAGAGACGGCTTCTGGATCCTGTATTGAATTAACAACCGATTCCCATTTACTCTCTCTGCTGAAAACTCTATTATGCAGGGCTCTTATTGCCCTTATTCAAGGGCAGGGAATTAAAAAAGTGATATCGATGGTAATGCTCTCATCTTCCTGCCATGACACTGAATAATGGGGACAAAGAAGGGGAATCTTGACGGATGATACGCCTTTTAAAATACTGCTGATAGTGAAAACACGGAAAGGACGACACATTTGAGTATCACTGATGAAGTCGTATTCAGATTTTTGTGCTTTTTGCATAGGACTTTAAATCAGCTTTGCTTTCCTTTTTGCTGTTGTTTTTGGAACATTTTGTTTTCGTGTTTTTGCAGGAGAGAGTCCTTACTGTAAGGAATGTAATCGAGATGAGGTAAAGTGTTTGCTTACACTAATTCCAAGAGAAATCTGCTCTTTCCTCCTGGACTCTGAGAGCAAGCATTGGGAATCTGACAGGGAAAAGTCCAGCAATAGATTGGTACAATTATTTGGGGAGAGCAAGGCTGCTGCTCAAGTGGAGGCTCTTCTGGCACTTTCCAGTTCAGCTTAATCTCTTTCTGAAGTTTCATGGTCTAAATAAAACTGGTGGTCTTATAAAAATGATACCTGCTGTGGACCTTTCCTTTACAAATGCATACATTTAGGTCTAAAAATATATATTTCCCTATGCAAACTAGACCTTACACAAAATAATGAGTGGGTTTGCGTTAGGAACTTCTATGGAATAAGGAAGAATGTCTCCATTCTACAAGTGGGTAAATGAGAAGCAAAATACTGAGCTATCTTGCCAAAAGTCACTTTCTGAGGTGAGAACAAAACACAGGTCTTGGTCGACTTATTGCAAACCTACTCTTCCCTAATCTCAGCCCGGATGTAAATGAGGCCCCTTGCCCTAAATTTTCAGTCAAAGTTTTCTGTGAGGTGAAATCATGAAAATCAGCCCTGTTGCAGGTCACACTCTGTGTGTGACAAAACCTGGAGAGCCTGCACCCTACCTCAGCATCCTGGCTACACCCACCAAGCTTTGTAAATAAACTCATTAATGACTTCAGGCTCTGTTTCTAGCTGGACAGAATATTTGCAAGGAGCCACTGTGAATGAAGAGAGCTGACAGCTGTGTTTTCCTTGCCTCTGCTGGCAGGAATTCAGGCTAATAATTACAATTATAACCAGCTGCCTGTGGCCTCCAGAGGTCAGCATATCACTGGAAAGTAGCTAAATATCAGCACCCTAAACTGTATTTTCCAAGTGGTTCTCATTAGGTGTATTTGCCAATTTCACTGATAATAAGATTTAAAGGGTTTGTCCCCAACTCTACTTTCTAGCAGTAGCAAGAAAAGAGCTCTCAGAATATGCATTGTAAAATGCAGAACGTTGTCACTGATGAGTGGCTGGGACATCCCCTGGGTGACAAGTTTAGTGAGAATAGCCAAGTAGATATCCACAGCTTTAGGTGCTGTTCCTGATGTGTCAGTAGTGATGGAGTGAATGGACCTGCCAAGCACCGTCTGGGTGGGTGCCAGACTTGCTCAGCTGTGGGAAAAGCTTAAATTTTTAGTGCCTTTCAACACCACTTGCAGTTGTAGTCCTAGTCTCAGAAAGAATAATGTAGAACCAGAGATGAGAAATAAGAGTTTATCAGAGGCGTGCAACAGCTTTCAGGTAAGAAGAAACTTAGCCTATTCACCTCTGGAAAAATCATAGAATATGGACTGGTTTGGTTGGAAGGGACCTTAAAGATGACTGAAATGAATTCTTTGTAAATACATTTATTGGCTCTTGTGATGTTATCCTGGTCTCCATAATCCAGAGCAAAATCAGGATGAGCTACCTTTCTAAAAGACCCAAATCTTACATGATCTCCATGACCAGATAGACTCAATCTGTTGCAAAACACCCAGCACCAGAACTCATAAACACCAAAGAGCTTTGGTGTCACACAACAGTAATTTCTCCTACAGCACAATCTAATTTCTTAGCATGAAGAGCACAAGATTTACTGAGCCCTTGGTGTTCTCACAGTTGTACTTTGAAACACAATCTGAAGGGGATGCAGCTGTAGACGAAGAGTAGAAACCCTGCTACAAAAGTATAAAATTAATAATACAAACAAAAAAATCCAGCACAACTCAAAAAAAAAAAAAGGAAGAACAGCACAAATCTTTCATTATTTTTATTAAAGCTGCAGAGTCTTACTACACACAACAAATATTTTATTGATATAATCTAAGTTAATAAAATAGTTGAACAACTCTTTAGATTTATATTTGTATAGAAATGATCTGGGGAACATCTTGTCTTGAGACAGCAGTGCCCAAAAACAACTATTCAGCAGGGTTTTTTAAAAGAAGAGTTTGGGACTAGAAGATGCACTGTTCATTCTCAAAGGAAAAAGAAAAAATCCATGCAAAAATAACTCCCACCCAAAGTGTAAGGCCATGTGGAATGACCACGTGAGGGATGGCTCCTTCCTTCCAGTATTCCTCGTCACACTTCCGTGGGAGCTTGTCATCTAGACTCAGTAATGAAAACAAGACAGAAAGAAAACTGAATTGCACAATCCTAGTCTGCAGGTGACAACGTCATAACATCTCTTTACAGAAGTCCCTACTGTGCTCCAGCTGGGAGGATGGGTTATGGTGCTGTGTCTGTCTGTCCCCAGCTGCCGGCTGATGTCAGTTCCTGTCCGTACTGTGAACACAAGTCAGTCTAGCTACTATTGCTTTGCTCTCCCCCCTTCACCTGGGTGTAGTTTACATTCTACAACATAGCACTGCCTGCCAAGGGCCCACTGCGTGGTGTTTCCCCCCTGTTTCAAAGCCCCACAGCCCAAGGGATGATGTCCTGGGTGCCGCTGGGCCCGGGAGGCGTCTGTCACAGAGCGCCAGGCACGGCCGCGCTAGATCATGCCGTTGATCTTAGTCCACTCGTAGATGTCCTGCTCGCACACGATGTCCGAGTTGATGAGGAGGTACCTGTCCCCCACGCAGAAGTGCTTCTGGCAGGCAGCACACTTGAAGCACTCAAGGTGATAGACCTTGTCCTTCACACGCATGGTCATCTCGTAGGCACGGATCCGCTTCTCGCAGGAGGCACACAGCCCGTCCTGGCCAAAGAGCCTGCAAGCACACACAGACGTGAGTGAGCACAGCTCCTGTGCTGCCAGCTGGGAAAAAACACATCAGAATGGCAGCACAGCACAGAGTGAGCACAGATCCTGTGCTGCCAGCTGGGAAAAAACACATCAGAATGGCAGCACAGCACAGAGTGAGCACAGCTCCTGTGCTGACCAGCTGGGCAAAACTAAACCAAAACAAGAGCACAACACCCCTGATCCATCAGGAACAGTGCTGACTTAGAGAGAGGTCACGTGGAAAGCTGCCCAGCAGAACTGGAAACTTTGCAACGCCAAAAATTGAAATAGAAAATCCAAGGTCCACACCTTGGATAAAATCACAGCATGGGTTGGGTTGGATGGAAATTTAAAGCCCATCCTGTGCCAACCCCTGCCATGGGCAGGGACACCTTCCACTATCCCAGGTTGCTCCAAGCCCCATCCAACCTGGCCCTGGACACTTCCAGGGATGGGGCAGCCACAGCTTCTCTGTGCCAGGGCCTCAGCACTATCACAGGGAAAAACTTCTTCCTTAATATCCAATCTAAATCTGCTCATATCTATCAATATAATTGGCTTCCCTGATCAATGACCTTGTCCTGAATTGAAGGAGCAAAGGTTGCCCAGAGCACTCCATAAAGTTGTGTCATATTAACACTTTCATTTCTGCGATGGACAGAAATTATTTTTTGTTAATATTTTTTTGCCTTTCTTAAGGTGTTGCTCTGTAATTTATAGAAAGGAGTTGGGATAAGCCATGGTCTAAGTCTCTCTTGCCTTTTGTCTGTGCCTGCATACTGGAAATTCTTTCAAACATTCCTATATCCATGAAGTTGCTCCTGATGGGTTTCAGAAGGACACGTTCTAAGACCTCCTAGATACCTGTGAGACAGTTTTATGCTGTGGACTGTTCTTTAATCCACATGGAGGAACCCTGCTGAGGTCCTCATAATACTGTCTATGAAAAAGAGCCTCTAATGAATGCCCTGCAGAGTTTATTAAGTCAAATCAGTAATAAAGAAGCATGAATATATTGATATTTTGTCCTTAAAAGGGACGAACACTACAGGTGATGTATTCATTGAGTTTGAGTTCTGAACTTCCATACTAATTCTGGAAGGAGTTTTTCCACCTCCTACCCATCTCCTGCATGTACTGTGCCTGATTTAAATCATCTTCTGAACTGGAAAAAGGATGTCTGGTAAATTAAGAGACCTTTAAGGAGAAAGAACATCATTCCTTTTGTCTACCAGGAGATGTCAGTGTTTACCTCTGCCCGGTGAAAGCAACGCTAAGGTTACACAAAGGTTGCCAAATTTTTCATTAATGAGGGAAGATATTATCTGTTGCATTATTAAATAAATAAAAACGTTGGATTTAACTGCAAGAAAATGCATTAATTGTATTGCTATGCTTCCTGTTGCTTCCATTTTAAGATGAAAAGTATTTGGGAAGTGTAATTAACACCGGATCACTGCTGGATTTACAAGTGGTCCCATTAGCAGAACTCAGTCCTTAATTTCTGCTCAGCAAAATTCCCATCAGCAAAACCCAGGGACAGCATAATTAGGAAGTCCACTGAGATTTTGGTTTCATTTTTATTGGCAGGTAAATTAGCCTTCAGTAAAAAAGCTGGAAAAATACCAAATATCATTATTCTGTACCACAAACCTCCTGACACATTAGGGATCCATTAGAAGAAATGGAACAAACTAGCACAGCAAAGATAATACATTTTAATTGAGAATGTAAAGATCCTTTGTTTTCAATGTTTGTGAAATATCTTAGTCTCCAATTAATCCTTTACTTACAAATATTGGCAAAACAGGCAGGCAGAGAGTTATTGATGAAAACACCCAGAACAAGTGTATTTGTAGGCTCTGATTCTTGAAAATGTGCAACATCTTGCTTATTCAGCACCAGGCTCAAGAATGCCAGAAACCCAAATGATCTTTCACCTTTTACCTGGGTTTAAACACCTTTAAACTCCAAGGCAATACTGGGAGAAGTAGAAAACGCTTTAAAACCATTCAGGGGAATCAGTTCATTGCCAGCTCGGTGGGAGATTGCTGGAATTCAGCCCCTTTCTCCAATTTTTGCTTGGCAGAATGCCACACTGACCCTCCACCTGGAGCTGTGGGGTTAGGTCTGTGCAGAATGACAGATGCCAACAAGTCTGAGCCCTAGGAGTTCTTTTCGTATTCTTCACATTATCAAATAATTCTGATTTGTCCACAACGTGTCCACTGCTTTCATTTCCATTAAAAACGCTTTCCCCCCCCCCAAACTTTTAAAGATTCAGCTATAAACAACTCCAAGTTGTTTATCTAACCAACACAGATAATCTCTACTTTTATCTATAACTTACTGAAGAATCCCAGCAATACTAAAAGCGTCTGCATATGAGTCCCAAAAATACAAGGACAGGCTGAGGGAACTGGGGCTGTGCACTCTGGAGAAGGCTCTGGGGAGACCTTAGAGCCCCTTCCAGTGCTTAAAGGGGTTCCAGGAGAGTTGGAGATGGACTTTGGACAAGGGATGGAGGAATGGGACAAGGGCGAATGGCTTTAAAGTGACAGAGGGTGTGTTTAGTTGGGATATTGGGAAGGAATTCTTGCCTGAGGTGAGGCTCTGCACAGGTTGCCCAGAGAAGCTGTGGAAGGCCAGGCTGGAGGGGAATTGAAGCAACCTGTCCTAGTGGAAGGTGGCAGAGGGGCTGAAACAAGAGGAGCTGTAAAATCCCTTTCCAGCCCAAACGATTCAGAGATTCCACGACAGGAGCCCACACTGCGAACCCGAGCTTGCTGTTCCCCCCATTGCCAGGCTTCGAGAGGCATCCCAAATGAATTCCTTATTCCCAGCTGTACTCGGTGAAGGACGGGCAGGAGGGAGGGAGGCTGTGAGGGGTGGGATGCCTACCTGAGATAGTCCCTCCTGCAGAGCTTCCTGCCCAGTTTGTAGTAGAGGCGCCTGCCCACCTCTCCGAGCCGGCAGCCGCACAGGTCGCAGCTCAGGCAGTCTTCGTGCCAGTACTGGTCGATGGCCTTCAGGAAATAGCGGTCCCCAATGTTCTGCTGGCACCCCCCACATGTCAGCAGCGATGGGGGGATCTGCAGCACCTCATCCACCGGCTCCCTGCGGGAACGAGACAAGCGCTGCATCCAGGGAATCCCACCCCGAGAGCATCCACGCGAGGAGGAGGAAAAGCGAAATAAAACCACGAGCTCGGACAGGTTAGGGCAGGGAGGGTGTGCTCCTTTGTGCTCATTGTCACCAGGACTAAGAAAAGCATCCAAGGGGTTTTGCACCTTCTGTTGGGAAATGGAAATTCGGAGACTAAGTTTGACGGTGTAATTTCTCAGAACAGCACAAAATAAACACAACAGCTGGTTCTGTTGCCAAAATGGTTTAAGTCTTGCTGCTGGTTTTAATAAAGCCAGTGTTTTACCTCATGTTGCTGCAGGACTTCTTTTTTCCCTTAGCCAAGGACATGAATCCCCTGGGATGGGTCTATACCAACATACCTCAATTATCTGGGATTTACACATCCATGAGTGAAAGGAGGCACAAATCTTTATTGTGATATTAGCACTGACTCTTTATTTTGTTCCCTTTTCTAAAAAGCTTGGCGATCTAGGATAATTCTGGTAAAAGAAGCGAGAATTTTCTTCAAAGCTACTTCCTTGAGGACTCCTGTGTCTTTTCGGGTAATTTCACAACTTGAAAAAAAAAGCAAAAAAAAAACCAACCAGCAAAAAAACCTTAAAAGAACGGTGCCTGAACTCAGTTTCGTAATGTTTTGGGCTTCACCCAAATACCAGAGAAGTCAATCAAAAAATCTACTGGATCCATCCCTTAGCACTTGCTTAATTTCAAACCCGTGGCTAGTAGAGTGGACCCCAAATTTTTTCATATTATTGGATTAGTGCTCCAGCACAGAGTCCCCGAGCAATTTGCTTCTGTCATTGTTCTGTCCTCCCCTGGGCTGGTGGGGGCAGAGGAGACCTACACTGATGAAGAAGCTCTGCTCCCAGTTTCCAGCAGGCAACAGGAAAAAAAATTGTATTACTCCTGCTTATTTACTGGATCAGCAGTTTTCTGGGCAAAAATTACTTTCTTCAGCAGGGAGGAACGACCTCTGGTCCAGAACTCCTGGGCTGAGAAAGTGATTCTGCAGTTTTTATTTGGGCAAGCCGAGCCCTGAGATATTATCTGGTTCTATTCTGCTCTGTTTTCTGCCTTCTAAGTTTAAACTGCTGTGCCCTGCAAGCTGTGTCGTAACACCCCTCTCCTGCCAGCTCTCCATCCTGTAAGTTTTCATTAAGATCATGAGGAACTCATGATTAGGCCCTACTTTTTTCCAAAGTTATCCTTTTGGGGCACATACTCCCTTTCCTAACACGTGGGCTCTGTGCTGACAACTTCTGAGAGCTTGCCAGTAGAAAGAAGCACACATCATTATCCTTAATTATCTGTTATTTGAAACTTCGGAGTGTACCCCAAAATATTTCATCCGAGGGGTGTTTGGGAATCCCAAGCCAGGTTTCTCTGAGAGTCCTAAGCTCCGGAACAGTCCAACGGATGTTTATGCAGAACAGCATTCCTGGTTTACGCATTAGGCTTTTGATGTCCATGGATTTCTAAGCCAGCACTTAAGCCACCAGAACACAAGGCAGGTAAATAAATAAAGATTTAAAAAAACTTTGTAGATGAAAGCTGGGCATCATTAGTAGCTGGGATTAGCGTTTCTTAAAACACAGCATAACAGAAATTGTAACATGTAAAACATCGTGGAATGAAGTGATTTAATCCCCAAAAGCAGTGGTTCCCGTGTGCTCACTCCGGGCTCTAAGCGATGGCATTTTTAGTATCTCACAGGAAACAAACCACGAATGACTCAATTTACTGAGAGCGATGTTTTACGCGTTATCTGAAAACGGAGATTTTATAATTTATTTCTTTTTTTCTCTTTCTTATCGCGATCCCATACAAGCCTAAGCGCAGTCAATTAGCACGTTCAAGCTGAAGTGACTCTGGGTCTGTGCTGAGTTGCCATCCCTGGGTGTGCAGCAGGGACGGGACAGCGGGAGCGCAGCCCGGGGGAAAGCCTGGATCTGGACACGGCAGCCAGTCCCTTCCCTGAGTGGGAAATCCAGGGAGGGAAATTCTCATCTCCTACATCCCGTCCATCAAGTCTGTCTACATGCTCTTGGCAGAACACCCAGCCCCCACCAAAGCTTTCTACGAGCTCTTGGAAGTTGCATTATGAAAACGTGGAAGTTGGGCACCCGCAGCTAACAGCCCTGACCTTTCACTGCAGCGAGCTGGGCACATCGGGGACGGGGCAGAGAGGATCCCTCGGGATGGAAAAACGGAAAGCTTGGGAAGCGGGATGCTCCCTCTCCCGCCGAGCATCCCCACCACCCCGCGGTGGGATGAGCGAGCGGGAGATGCCCTGCCCGGGGGAAATTGCGCCTCTCTGCTCCCGGCTGCTCCTTCCCACAACTTGGGGGGCTCTCCCGAAGCTGCCCAACGCCGTCAGCCCCGCGGTGTCCGGAGCGGAGGAAGGGGGTCGGGGCGGCGGGGGATGCCGCGGAAACTCCGGGGCTGCCGCGAACCCCCCGGGGCTGCCGGGCACACAAAGCCGGCGGCGGCTCCGTCGGGGAGGACGGGGCTGGCACCGGGAGGCTCCCGGCGACGATGGCGAGCGGGGGGACCGGGCAGAAAAAGCGCGCACTTACTCGGAAGGATCGAGGCTTTTCCTCTCGATGGCCGATGACATTGGCAGGGCCGGTTCCTTTGTGGCGTGCCGGTGGTGGGCTCTGCCCCCGCCGCCCCCGCAGAGGCCGTCTGCTCGCGGAGCCTTGTCGCCAGCCGCGCTGCCCCGCCGCCCCGCGATGACATTCACAGGATTTCCTCCTGCAGCACCGAGACAGAGACACACGCACACAGGGGCTGGGGCTGCGCTCCGGCCCCGCACGGCTCCCCCCCACCACCCTCCCCCGGCCCCGCACGGCCCCCCCGGCGCTGACCTCCCATCCCCGCCGCGCTCCCCCCGCGCCCCGGCCGGCGGGGCCGCTCCCGCGGCGGGCGGGGGGCGGCGGCTGCGGCCGCCACCGCGGCTCCGCGCCCGGCGCTCAGCGGCTCCGGCTCCGCTCGGGCAGCTCCGCACACGCTCCGCGCCCCGGCGGCAGCGCTGCGAGCGGCGGCGGCCGCATCCCCGCGATTATTATTACTCCGTGGCTCAGCCCCGGCTCTCTGGTTTCATTTCCTTTTTCCTGATCACGATTCAAATACAATAGAAGGAAATCACACTTAAAGAGACAGCTGCCCGTTTCTTAACTGCACTCCTGGGGATTCGGCAATACAAACAGCAGCATCACGACTCGCTGGGTTCCTTAAAGAGACAGAGCGGGGCTCCCCAGAGCCAGGGCTGGGGGCTGCCGAGGCGTTCTCACATTATTATTATTATTATTATTATTATTATTATTATTATTATTATTATTATTATTATTATTATTATTATTCCCTTACTAACGCTGTCTCTGTGCGCAGGCAGGTGGGCGACCTGAGAATGATCCCAAGGGCTGGAAAAAAAAAAAAACAAAAAACAAGCGCCTGGTTCCGGATTGTGCCGCCTGCTCAGCTGCACACAGCAGCGGCACTCACCATCCCTCTGCTCGCCCTCTCCCTCTCTGACACCAACATGCACATGCCCACACGCACACATGGGTTTGTACGGCACTCGGAGAGCTGCAGGTAAAGATCCCGAGCATTATTTGTCCACCGGGAGTTCGAACTGGTCAGCTCAGTTGTGTCTCATTTATAGCCCCGAGTGAACATTTGCTTCCAGAAACCCCCCGGGTTCTTGGCAAGCTGTGTAACAAATTTACACCTTGGCACCGTGTGATGCTAATGAGCTGTAAAAGCCGGCGAGTACCGAGTATCGATCTGTAATTAATCCAAGAGGGCCAAAGATGGGGAAAGTCTTCCCCGAATATGTCTATTTTCCCTCCCACCTTTCCTCCTCTCCATCAGCGCAGTACATCCCGGAAAGGACTGATTTACAGCGCCGGAGTGAAAACTATTGCAGCAATCCCAGCCTTTGCCAGCTCTGTGGCATCAGACGCTGGCCCTTGCTGGAGGCAGAGTCCTGGATGAGATGAACTGCTTGCCCTGTTAATTCATTTAAAAACAGCAAAGAAATATCTGCAGTAAAGCCCCAGAGAGTAGTAGTAGCAATATTTCGCTTCTATATTAATTCCCAGAAGAGAAATGTATTTGATGTCTATTTTTATGACTACATTCTCCTTTTTTTCCAGCTTTTTGGCAGCTGGGGATATAATATCTGCAATACATTAATGAGCCCGATCCAAAGATTAGTAATGTCAGCAGAAGGACTGTTATTCCTTTCAAGGGGCTTTGAACCAAGCTCTTGAAATACTTTAGAGCTATCACTGGTCATTAGGATACATCTTTCTTATTCTTTAAACACATTATCTCCAATGTATTTTAAGCTATTACAGCAGGACAGTCACTCTCATTTCTGTTGAAGGAAAAGGCTCTTTTGTTAGGTTTTCACAGACAGGACTGAATTATATGATGACTATTTAATTTCTGGCGTGTTTACCCTGTGATCAGCAAAGTAAAATAAATGTAAATCTTGCCAGAAGACTGAATAACTAAACTATTGCAAGACTCCTAAAAAAACAAAAAACAAAAATAAATCTGCCAGGAACTTCACTTGGTTAAAAAAAGAATCAGAAATTGAATTAAAGGTGGCTCAAAAACATGCAGAAGGACATCAAACGTGTTTAAAAAAACCCAAGACATTTCTGTGAGCTTGATTTCCACAATGTCTCAAGGTTTAATAAAATATAAACTCTTAAAATATAAAAGGCAAAATTTCCCTGATGGTTGGGGTACTCATATTCTGATGATCTCCTGATGGAATAATGTGAGCAACTCTATAATGCCAGTAAATGTTCTGATCTCAGAAGTTGTGCACACACTGCAGACGCACTGGCCTGCTGCCTCCCTCTATTTATTTTCCCAAAATTCACAGGAAATTAATATATTTAAGACCTCTGTGCCTTTGTGTATCTAAAAGAGTTCAAAAGTTTTGGTGAGGGACAAAAGTATCAACATTGGCACATAAGGAATTACTTATTTCCTTAGAAAAACAACATCAAAATGAGGAATTACGATACCCAGTGGCCAGAGATTATTGAAAAAAAAAATTAAGATTTTTCAATTCCTTGCTTTGCTCAGACCACCTTAGGTCTGGCTGATAATGAGGTATTTCTCTTATTCATAGTTGAGCATGTGCACTGATGGACAGACCAGGAACATTCCCTGCATTGCCAGATCAGTCCCTTCACCTGCAGAAAAGCTTTTCTGCATAAAAACAATGGAACAATGTGCAATGTAGAAGCTGAAGAGGATAATTTGTATGTGTTTCATTTTTTCAGTCAGATGCAGAACAAACTTTCCTAGATGAAGTCAGATATTTAAGCACAGAACTCGTGATAGTGCTGGGATCACTCCATAGGCCTGCAAGCACCATCTGTCTCCTTATCTAAAGTAATTGTAATTAAAACTGTGAGGTTATTTCTTGATTTCTCTGAGTCCTGTGAAGGAGAGATGCCAGGCAAAGTTGTGAGCAGAGAAAAGTGGAAAAAAAGCTGGATTTGCAGCAAAAAGCTCAGCAAGAAGGTCCTCAGAATGCTGACCAAGAGCTGCATCTTCGAATACCTCTGAGGAACAAAGCCATAGACCTTTCTGGGACAATTCCATTTTCATTTATTGGGTTGACATGTAATAAACTCTTGCTCTGGACAGTGAAATTTGGCCTTTGCAGCCGAGGACTTTCTGTCCCACTAGAACAGATGACCAGTAATCAAGAAGGACTTCTTTTTTCTTCACCTTGAGCAAGTCCCTTAATACCTCTTTGCCTCAATTTTCCCATCTGCAAATGTTTACTTTCCTCAGCAGAATTGGCTGTTGATTTACTTTTGCCTCCCGCTGAATAACGTTCCCAAAGACAAAGCATTATTCACTGCTGGAATTGGTGGTGCCGACATTTCCTGCCCAGGCACAAAAAGACCAGCACTATTTTTAGTGAGGGCTTTTCTTTCCATTGTTTCTTTCTCTGTGGAGCTGGATTTTCCAGTGCTCTGTAGTGTGGCTTTTTGTGTGTGTGTGTGTGTGCGTGTGTTCATTGATTGAAAATCCTAAGGGATGAGTTTTGGTTTCAATTAACTTTTATTAATAAAGATCACGCTATAGACTAATTATTGGAGCATGGCTGAGGTCAAATCTGCTGTTAGAGACCACATTTAGTATTTGGGGTTTGGAATAATGTGCCATGAATAAGTCAGCTGGACCTTTTCAGATGTTTCTCAGTAAGAATTTAATGTAAAGCTGCATCATTTCTATGAGTGGTGAAACCTAAAGAAACAGCTCAATGTATCTGTTTCCCAAGAAACATCCTCTCTTGCACTCAGGGAGTATTTTCAGCTTGGTTTTGGAAGGCCAAAATATCATCATCACCACGCAGCCTCAGGTTGTTCCTACCTTTATTCCCTTGGTATATCCCAGCTTTATCCCCCCTATAGCTTATGGATACTATTGAGCTATTTCAGGTCACTCTCGTTTAGAGAAGTCTGTGTTCAGTAAGATTAACTTTGCTGCCCTCAATAGCCAGTAATGCTGGTTGCCTAAAAATGCAGTTTATGAAGATTGAAGTCTCTGCATAGATGGAAGAATTAAACCTCAGTGGCAGTGGCCTAGATTTTCTTTCTGTGGGAGAGAAAAGTCAGGACTGTGACTAAAGGTGAACAATTAACTCAAAAGGTGGCATAAAGGAATCAGAATTTCTGTAATTTGGGCTGTCTTCTGCTGCTGAACCACCATTTGGTGGTAGAATCACTACTCCACTCCAACCCACCTATTTGCAAGAATCCTCCTCTTTCCCCCCACACACTGGACTGAAGCCTTGTCCCCCCAGCCACTGGGACGAGGCTCTGAAGTAATGGAAATTTTGGGTTGGTTTGGGCTTTTTGAACCCAAATTTGACACCACAGAACAAGAACCTTGGTCTCTCTTAAAGAACACAGAATATTTGAGGAGGAATTTGGAGGCTGGATCTGGGGGGATCTCTAAGGTCCCTTCCAAGTCAAACCATTCTGTGATTCCATATTCCATATAAACCAGCTGCTGCCAAGGAGAGGGACTGTGCCACTGGAGAACCAATGCTGTATCAACAGTTACTCATACCACCACAGTGTCATATTAATGGCATGAAGGGCACCACATAATTTAAAAAAAAAAATAAAAGTATGTATTCTCTTTTCATGAACCTGGAAATTTTGTTTCAGCCAGAAAGTTCTGGTCTGATCTGGGTGCTCTCCACAAGTGCTGTTTCGATTTTGTTGTAGTTTGGTTTTTTTCATATAAAAAAATCCTCATCATTCTCCTAGTTAGCACATTTTCTAACCTCCCTGAGGACAGAGGTGGATAGAGAGGATAAGGAGCTGTCACTGAGTGGTGGCCACATGCACTGACTTGAACACACTTTGGAGGCTTTTGGTGAAGTGTGACTCAGAGAACTTACTTATTGTCCTTCTGACCAAGGACACACTTCTCTTTTTGGGGCTTAACCCTTCCTTTGAACTGGAAGAAAACAAACCAGAACAATAAAAACCACACTCAGGGTGAAGTTTGCCCTGAGACTGTGAGGTCCAGACGTTAGATAAGGATCCTGGTGCATAAAGAGGTCTGGGCAGTTACAAAGTTTTGTTTTGTTTTGCTTTATTTTCTCCCACAAGCAGCAAAGATGAGAGAAAAGAAAAAAAACACCCAGCCCAGCAACTGTGGTTATAGCCCAGAGAAATCTTCAACTACAGATCACATCAGGGATGATGAAAAGTTAGTTACAGGCAGTCAGATGAAGGGATATTTCACTGCAAAAATGTGAAAGGTTCCCCCTCCCCATTTCCTCCCTCTTCTTTTATTGATTTCTCTTGCTGCCTTGCACGCAAGCCAGATCCAATTACTCTGTCATGGTTTTCATAAGGCTACTGCTCTACAGTACAGTCCTTTCAAGTCATTCCCTCTTTTTCCATGGTAAATACTCTCTCCTATGCTGGTGCATGGGAATGACCCCAGTAGGGCACTGGGGAGAGTTTTGACTTTGGCATTAAACATCTCGTCCCAACCCATTCATGTCAGG